TAATCTCTTTGATCATATAGTGCAATCGAGTCAGTAGACTGTCAGCGTGGGAGAGTGAACGTAGGCTTAATCTAAGCCGAATCATTATAATCTTCTGTGTGCAGTTTTTCTATCCATAAACTCCTATTATATATACTGCACACTAACACATTTGTCACAAAGTCTGATCCGAATCTAATTATTTTTCAGACTTTAATATTGATTAGTTGTTTCCGCTTTAAAAATTGATCAAAAAGTTTTATATCACCTATTCACCCTCCTCTAGGTGATTCTTGCTAGATACATCACATTTTAGTTTTTGCTCAAGGTCCATATGAAATTAACATGAGATTCACCAAAATCAAATGCTTTGATATGGACTGGCTGTATGTAATAATAAAATTTTCGTCAACTCAGCCCTTTCATACTATAATAATATTACAACTGAAAATTAGTGAGGGGTTGTGCCTTGAGGTCTTTCTTTTTTCTTTTTTGAATTTCTAAGTGTTGAGGAAAACTCCTAATGAATTTTGAAGCTGACAAAACTCTCTATGTTTATCTTGTGAATTTGACATACATTCCATTCTAGGTTAATATATTCTGGAAGTTCAGAAGGAAATATCAGACTTTACAAGACTCAAAACTAAAAGTTCAGACTCAGAACTAAAAATTAAGACTCAGACATAAGATATTCAGACTTTACCATAAAAGTCATTCAGACTCTAATTATGAAATATTCAGATTCTATTGAAGACCTCAGCTGACTCAAGTTCTGAATTAGAAATTCTTCGGACGCAGTAATTATGCAGACACAGACGCTGAAATTTCTCAAACGCTAAAGTTTTTCAGACGCAGAAACAAAACTCATTCAGAAGAAATCACAACAACTAGTGATCTGACATGGATTTCACAAAAGGAAGATTTTGATTGACTCAATCTCAGTCTAATTGATTGACAATCAAACATTACGACAAGTATGCATTACAACGGATAAAGCTCTACTTATGGAAACCAAGATTCTGATTGTATGAGCGACCAGAATCAGCAGGATTCAGATTTTGTCAACCAACGGCTACTCAATTCATTTTATACAAATCTGTCCAAAATGAAGATTGGAAGATGATCCTCTGAAGACTGTCCAACTGCTAGTTTGATAGTAGAGGAGTATAAAAGGAGATCTACGAGGAGCAAAAGGAATACACGAAATCAAGAATCAATAAGTCCAAAGTCTAAGCATACTTCGATCCTTTTTCTTGTCTTTCTTGAGCTAAACATTAAGATCTTGAAGGACACTTTGTAAAAGTGATTGTGTAAGATAGAGAGTCCTATCATACACAAGAGTGCTGTTACTTAAAAGCTGTAATTCCTCTTGATTACATAGTGAAATCCAGCCGGTAGGCTGTCAGCGTGGGAGAGTGGACGTAGGCTTGCTATAAGCCGAACCACTATAAATTTGTGTGCAGTTTTTCTACCCCTTATCTCTTACTTTACATACTGCACATCAAGAGCACTGTCTATTTAAACTATTTTGAATCTGAATTTTATTCAGACTCAACTGTGATCAATCATTTGCGCTTAAATTGTTAAAAATTATTTAAGATCACCTATTCACCCCCTTTTAGGTGGTCCTTGCTAGCTACATCACTAAGCAAATAAAGATTATATCCATAATCCACCAAGGTGGTGTTTCTCTTGCCTTATGAATGTTCGATTCACGTCGTGAGCGAACCACTGAATGGCTCATGCCATGTTGCCTAGTTACGGAACACTTTGTGTGCAGAGACTTCCTGACTACTAACGTCTAGGTAGAGATATGACGAATGGCTCACCAATTTCGAGGCTTTTAGGTCGGACGTGATGCAAAGTAACTATGACTCGAACAAAATATTTCGTAACCAATGTAAGACCTTTATGGTAATGCCTAGAGGAGGTCGTTGGCACTAATTAACCATCCTTGCTCTATTACTTCTAGGGGAAAAAAAGAGATCATATCCATAATTGACCAATACATAATCGAATCGACAATATACAAATGCCTAGAAGGCCCAAAAACATATAAGAATACACAAAGCCACAGAGGGCCCATAAAGATACACACAAGAGCAAAGGCCGAAAAGGCCCACATGAAGAGAAGCCTTGTTTGAGTGGAAAAAGGAATGGGCAAAGCTTTTTGACGAGAGAGAGAAATTAATGCCCATACACTACAAAAAGCACTTCCCGTGTTAAATAGTGAAAACGACACGAATTATTCATGAATTTTGATCCAACGTACAATATCATCCTTAAACTTTTAATTTGTTCAATGTGATCCTCTAACTATTAGTAATTTTTAATTTGTTTAACGTAATCTTTTAACAATTAATAATGTTCAATCTAGTCCCCAGGTAAATCCAATTCTTTTTGTTCACTCCTTATCATGATTGTTTTGTCCTTGTTCTTGGCTTTCCTGGCTTATCGCTATGCCTTCCATCAGTTTCTCTTCCGAGCTCATTCTCTCTTCTCTCTCACCATATGAAAATATTTAATATCGTCCCTCCATTAATTTAAGCTAATGGAATATGTTGATGTGATTTTCAATTCATTAAATTTGAATGGTGGACAATAAAAGAAACTTACACGTGAATTATCCAAGTAAGATAGTCATTCAAAATCGGGATATAATAATCCATATCATCAAATTATGATGGACATAATAACGTCCTAATTTTCCTTTTATAAAGTAGATAAATGTGTTGACTCATCATTTTAAAAATCCAACTCAATATATAATAATCCACATCATCAATTAACATTGAGCATGGACAAGAACTACATTGAACATTTACTTATAGTTTAACGACCACATTAACTAAATTAAAAGTTTATGGACGACATTGCATATTGACCAAAATTCAGTGGCATTTTATGTCATTTTCCTAATTAAGTACCAGATCTTTAGACGTCTTTTTTTTAAATTATGATGTTTATTCCATATATGCATAACATGAAATTTCAAATGATATATATTTTCATTGTAAAGATATTTTTTCGTCATCCATTATTTTTCTGAAGTTTAATCTAATAAGAGGTAGAAGTTTATGTACCATAAATCTTGGAAATATTACTAATTTAGTACTAAAACCATTATACGGATTCCAATGTAATTATAAACTTTTAATGTAGTTGTTAACTTTTGCGCAAATTTTAACAAACTTATTTCAGCCAAATATCGCCTGGAATTACTGATATGGCGGTCCAATCATCATCGCCCGTCCTACGTATCACGGTCAGCGATCTGACCAGAACAAGTTTACTAAAAAACAAGTCCTTTTGAGTAATTTTTTATATTTTCTGATTTTTTTTCTCTTCTTTTCTTTCCTTCTTTTACGTGCTACCCCTTCATCTCCTTCACATGAACATTGAAATGAAGTGCTCGTTGTTGACTGGTAACTCCATTGGCGATCGGGCTCAGTTGTGAATTCCGACGACTCCTACTCTGTTTGCCTTTGAGCTCGGTAGAGACACAAGGGCTGCGAGCTCTCTGCTGAGCTACTGGAGTGACCCCGAATGAGGAGGTTGTGGAAGAGCGTGGTTGGCTGAGGAATTTGGTCGAACAGGCAGTGCGCCTATCTCAAGTTGCCGGAGGGCGAAACAGCCACAAAGCGGAGATCGTCGGAGGGCATGTCAGGGGTTGAAGTCGAGCAGTGGGGAGACGTAGGGCTTGGTGGCAGCGGCAGAGACAGTAATGATGGCAGATGAACGGTAACAAAGAAATCTGAGGGAGAAGATGAACAGTAACCAAGAGAAAAAAATCTCAAAAATTCAACAAATTCACTTGGTTTTGGGTAAATTTATCCACATTTTATTGCCAGCTGCCACATAAGATGGCCAGTAATAACTAGACCGCTGCATAAGTAATTTCAGGCAAAAATTGACCAAAATAGTTACATCATATATTCTCGCAAATGTTTAATACTATATTAGAACAATTAAAAAGTTCAGGACTACATAAGAATCCAAACAATAGGTTTGTAACTAAATTAATAATTTTCTAGGATAATTGTCCAAAAAGTCCCAAATATATTGTACGACAGCCAATTCAGTCATAAACCTTTTAGCGATTTGTCAATTTAATCATAAACCTTTCAACGGTGTCAATTTAGTCATAAACCTTTTTTAAGTTTGCCAATTTAGTCATAAACCTATTATTTTGATAATTGGCGGAAATGATTACATTGACAAATTGTCAAAAGATTTAAGACTAAATTGACAAATCGTTAAAAATTTTAGAACTAAATTGGTACAATTGAAAGACTTAGGACTGAAATGACCACCGTACAATAGATTTAGGGCTTTGTTTACAATTTTCCCGTAATTTTCCCTACAAATCTAAGATTGATATTAGTTCTGTTGTGAAATAGATTCTATATATATTTGGTCGAAATTTTTTAAAATTTTTTGATTCGCTGAATCCAACTGCTTAAGTAAAATAATTAATAGTTAATATTAGAAATAATTTATTAATCAAATAAAATATATGATGTTGATTTGTTTTTGAATTAGGTAGATTTCGGTATGTAATGAAACTTTCTTATACCTTATCTGGAGATACTTTTTTGTTATTCATTTTTGAAGATTTAATCTACTGAGGGGTAGACTTTTAAACATGTGTGAAATATTTTCTCTTTATTCATTTTTTTTAAAATTTTAAACTCAATAAGGGATGAAAATCTGATGTTAATCATTAGCTAGTGCTAATTGATCGATTTTAAGCCACATGGCAAACTATATCGTGCGGACGGGCAGTCACAGACGTAAAGTGAACTGCCACCTGACGAGCGCTAGAGCGAATATTCTCTCAGTTTCGGTCTCAATTTATTGGCTTTTGGTCAATCCTAAGTCATTACTAAGAGAGACACTAAACTTGTTAAGAGGACAATCCTTGAGACATTATTAGTCCTGTAAATTTACGTTCACATACAAAGAAAAAACTGAGCATGAATGATCTAATATGCCAAAGAGACTCACTAATCACCGCTGAATAATAATGACAACATAATTGACACTTCCTATAAAGGGCAAATTACATTTTTTTTTGTTTTTGTTTCCTGAAGTAGAAGTCACTATCAACTTGAACAACTCTTGCTAACAAAATACAAATTCTTCAGCAGAACACCACTTACCTGTATGACTTAGCCATCATATGTACTTTCACTTTCACTTCAATGGGACATTATCTAACACTAATGTCCCTAAACCTATTAAGTTGGGTGCCAAAAAAAGACATTAAAAACTACCTCCGATTTGCCGATTTCGACTATGATACCGAGTACCTCCTGTTCCGGGAAGGCGTCGACTTCGCTTCGTCCGCATTACCATTGCCAGAGCCGAGACTCTCGGAGGAATCCGAGCTGCTGTTGTTTTCGCTCTGGCTTTTGCTTGAGAACATCTTCATGAACACTTTCTTCGACCGGAGCAGCCCCTTCATCTTGGTTATCGTGGCCTTGTCCACGCTGGGCTTTCCGTCCCCGTTCCTCTCGGACCCTCCTTGGGCCCCGATGCTCAGCCGCAGCGAGGCCAGCTCGGTCTTGAGGGCCTTGAGCTCTTCCGCCGTGGCCACGGCATCCCAGTCTTCCTCTGTGTTGGTCGTGGCGGACCTCGAGCTTCCGTGGGACCCGTTGTTCAGCTCCCGAAGGCTTTTGGGGAGGTCTGGGGTGCTGCTCCCAGATGACGCAGCCACTCTGACCTGCTCAAAGAAGAGCACTTGCACGACGACGCGCAAAGGGAGCCTCTCATTTTGCACGGCGTGCATGCACGCGTCGACCGAGAGCTTCTTGCAGTCCATCAGTTTGCAAATCCTCTTCCTCTCACTCTTGGTGATCCCAGGATGCTCCTGCATTGATGTCAGTTCAACACAAATCATCAACATTAATGATCCCAAATCAGAATTCGCGTTTCTTTGGTAAGACGGATCGAAATCAGATCTTTTTGGAATAAACTTAACAGTTTGAAAAGCTCCATGTGCTTCAGATATAAGTACGTCCTAAAGTCCATGAGAAAAACGAGAACAGCATGAAACTGTTACCTTGAGAAACATGTCGATGGCTCGGTAAAGTCCGTCATGGGAAGGCCGAGGAACACTTGACATCATCTCAGCAAGTTCAACAAACTTGGACAAAGGCAGGTTATGATCTTTCGATATTTCAGCGAGGTATGCATCAATTAGTTTTGCCACCATCAGCTTGGAAGCATCGGACAAGATCCCCAGCCTCCTCATGCCTCGCAGCTCATGTTTTTCTTCAACGGACTCGATCTCCTGGCTCTCCCGTGACAAGAATTCCTCAACTACAGCAATTACAGTGCCAGCATCGTACATCATACTTTCTCCTTCTGGTGCCCGTATCAGGAGATCATTCACATTAGCCTCCTCTAATTGCTGTCCTATCTTCCTAATCAAGTCCCTTTTCGCCGTCTCCCCTGAATCGACACAAATGGCCGCCTTTAACAACTTGAGCAAGAAACTACAGGAGATGCTCCATTTCTCTCCAGGTAACAACCGCACGACTGTTTCTACCACCAGCCGATACTTCGGTGTATCTATGCACTTGCTCATACCTTTGCTGAACCCAGGCAACCTTCTGTAAGCATAAGCTTTCAGTGCTTCACCGATGATTTCGCCAGGAAGCATCCCTTTCATTTTGATATTCATCAAAACACGCTTGTATAACTCGATCTCGAGCTCACAAAGATCCTCGACCCACCAGTCCTTTGGAACCACACGAGTTCGGACACCATTTGAGTCCATCCCATTTTCCTCTCCCAGCTTCTTCTGGTTGTAGGAGTAGGACCAATCGACCTTGGAGATGTCAACACAGGCCTTCCCAGCAATCGACTCAATACTTTGATTCACCAACTTCAATTCCTCAGAATGTGGTAATAAGGATTTTGTGGTCTGAAGAACGATGATCGAATCCTTCCAACTACGGAAAATGCTAGAGCTAAGAAAAACTTCAATCTTGTAGATAAGATTCCCCTTTTCAACTGTCTCGTACATTTCTAAGTACTCGGCGGCACACCTCGCAGCGACGACATTGTAGGCATAACAGAACTTGGCGCAGACCTCAAATGAGGCAGGACCACCGGGAATGTCCGAGATGTTGACTTCATCGCTGTCATCATTATTGGTAGCTGCGACCAGTTTCTGCAGAAGTGCGCTCTTTGACAGAAGAGGAAACTGCAACAAGCAGGTAAATTCCTTACTGAGATAGAAGTTCCAAGTCATTACAGGATACATTAACGACTAGACTACTCTATGTGATCAAAGTTGAAGTTTATGCAAGGGCAAGTTTATGCACTGATTGGTTCATCAGAAGAATTCATATATAGTTCAATTACAATTGCTTAATCTGCCAATTTTCAACTAAGGAAACAAATTATACGGTCCGGCTTGCCATGGAAATTGGTTTTTGATGGAAGAAATTTAATCTATACCATTGTCCACAGGAATCTGAGGAGTCCAACGCAGTAGTCAAGCTAGATAGGAAACCTATTGTAGTGCTAAGAAGTTATAACAAGTGTTTGCTTTGCACAGAATTACGTATGGCAACCTCATTTCAAATAAAGTAGCAAGAGAAGTAGGCCAAAACTTTGCTTCTTACTTTATCATGACATGGCTAGACATTAACGTGACGGCAACAGAACCTTAAAAGGTAATTTCAGCACTTTGATTATGCGAGGCAAAATAAGCCAAGAAAGTCGCCAAGCCATTGCAAGTAGTTGTATGAAAAGGGTACCGAGTTGACCATACCTTATGCAAGTAGAACTTTACACTCCCAACACTGACAGTGATATCAGTTGCCAACTCACTTGAAACGTACCTGCACGTTGTCATGCCCCCTTATAGCGTTATTCAAAAGAGCAAATAAACCGATACGACCATGCAGACATGATTTCCAGAATGAACGTTCACAACATAATGCGCGAAAGTCGAGCACTTCAAGGCATGGCTGATTAAAAAAAAAACTCCACATGAAGTTGCAAAGGCATGCATTGGCCTATCAAGAATCTCCCCCACTTACAAAACACAGAACAATTTCAATTTACTTGCCAATTGAACTGCTTGAGATGGAGAAAACCCATAAAACATACACAGAAGTCAAGTCTTTCGAAGAGAAAATTTGTGCAAATGTTGAATACTGTAGACTGCTGTCGATGAATAAAATGTCATCAAGACAGCGTTTGCGAATAGCTTTTATAGCGGCTTGTGCGTGTTGAATAAAATGTCTGTTCTTTGTAGCAGCAACATCCACAACATTCGTTTGCTTTTTGAATTTAGAGAAAGAAATTTGTTCTCATCCTTCAAGCTCGTTTCGCTTTCAAACTGCATAAACTCAACAAACTTTTTGCACAAATATAATATCTCATGCAATATATTATGCTCTTTCTTAGAATAAAATTGAATAGCAATTATAATAATATCAAAATATTTAACTTATCCTTTCATAAGACGCATTAAGCGTTTGCTCAAAATATTTTGATATTCCTCCAATAATTTGTGAGAATATTGTACAAAGAGGAAATTTTCTATCCTTCGAAAATAATGCATAATCTTTTTGCAATATTAGGAACAAAATTTCCAAACTTCATATGGAAAGTCTCTTTTGCTACCTACAAATTATTGTAGAGGAGACAATATCTTTGCAAAATATAGAGAATTTCCTGTACATACCTTCCTCATATTTGCGAATCAAACTTGACAATTATAAGATATCTTCTAAGAATATGGCAAGTGTATGCAATAATAGCTTTCAAGATTAAAAGATTCTCCTTTAGCATAAATCTCAAATGCATAAAGATAATATAACATTAACGAATTTTGCAAAAGGTATGTAGATATTTTAAGCATTAAAACTCTGCAATATCTTACATGCATGGCACTACAAAAAAACAAGGGTTTTGCCACGAATTTTGCCACGAAAAATTTGGCAAAATTCGTGGCAAGACGAATTTCTAACGAAATTAGCGACGAAAAAAAATTCGTCGCTAATTCGGCATCGCAAATTTTTGCGACAAAAAATTTCAATTTTCGTTGGTAATTTGCGACGAAAAAAAATTCGTGGCTAAATTTCGTGGGAAAATTCGTTGCTAATTATTCGTTGCAAAAATCGTGGCAAAATTCGTCGGTAATTTTTCGTGGTAAAATTCGTGGCAAAACGAATTTCCAACGAAATTAGCGACGAAAAAAAATTCGTCGCTAATTCGGCGTCGGAAATTTTTGCGACAAAAAATTGTAATTTTCGATGGTAATTTGCGATGAAAAAAAATTCGTGGATAAATTTGTTGCAAAATTCGTCGCTAATTATTCGTTACAAAAATCATGGCAAAATTCGTCAGTAATTATTCGTTGTAAAATTCGTGGCAAAACGAATTTCCGACGAAATTAGCAACGAAAAAAAATTCGTCGCTAATTTGGCGTCGAAAATTTTTGCGACAAAAAATTGTAATTTTCGTTGGTAATTTGTAACGAAAACAAATTCGTGGCTAAATTTGTTCGTTAACGAATTTAACCACAGAAAAATATAAAAAAATATTTTTTTTGAAAAAAAAAAGTATATAAAAAAATTCGTGGCAAAATTCGTTGCAAATTAGCCACATAAAAATAAAAAATATTTTTTTTTGAAAAAAAAATTGTACAAAAAAATTTTCGTTGCAAAATTCGTCGCAAATTAGCCACAAAAAATAAAAAAATTATTTTTTTGAAAAAAAATTATATAAAAAAAAAATCCGTGACAAAATTCGTCACTAATTTGCCACAAAAAAATAAAAAGAATAAGGTTTTTTTGGTCACGTTTTTTGCGACGAACTTATTCGTGGCAAAATTCATCACTAATTTGCCACGAAAAAATTTTACTTTTGCAACGAATATTGTTCCGGAACGAATTTAGCGACGAATATTGTTTAGGGACGATTTCGATTTTAATTTCTAGAATTTATATTTAACATTGATTAAGCAGTTAATAACATCAAAATATTATAATGATAAATAAATAAAATACATTCATCAACATTTGCCACACGAATGACAAAGTTCAAAGTAATTCACCTCCTTCATTGATGTCTAGATGATAATTTAGAAGCAACTATCAGTGTTTCCCTCTCGCCTACTCCCACTGTGTTCAACACAACATATCAAGACCGATTGAAAACTCAATAGCTTAGAGTAGATCGCATATTCTAAAGAGAGTGTGTTTGAAGGACTGCCACACATTGACGTTATTAAGTACTTCAAGCAATCTTCTTGGATCTGAACAGCCATCACGAAAGTATTCAGCGACCGCAATATTGTGGAGGACCTGCATTGCACTAATGTTTTAGCTCAGACCATGGTGATTTAGGCGAGTTATACAAAAAGAACGACTTCTTTATTCAAGAAATTCCATATATAAGCACTAAAAGAAAAGGCAAAGCACGCACAGTCAGGAACAGTCCAAATGGATAGGAAGTCAGAATTTCAATCAAGACCCAGAAATTAAACCTCAAACCAATAGAAGATACAGCATGCTTACCATGTAGAAGAAAAGCTCACAACAGACCCAATGGATAACTAAACATGCGAATCCGAAACTAGAATTTGTTTACTGATCAAATAAAGTAAACTGTCTAAACTTAGGCATACAGAAAACAAATATGGTGCCATTATCGACTATACAGTGCAAGAGCTAACCCTTTTGGAAATTTGAACAATGCAAAAGCTAACCCTTTTGCTTGACATGTTCTTTTTAGATAAAAGGGTGAAGAATTTGTTGGTTGTCAGGTTTAATTTCTGATGAAAAACAGTGCAAAAGTTAACCATTTTGTTTCAAAGAGCAAGAGCTAAACTTGACAAAATGAAACTAACTTGCTATTGCCTCTGCCACCTATTACATGATTTTACAGTGTGAACCCAATGTCATCACAAGTTCTCACCAAAATGACAATCGAGAATGCAGCAGCAAAGTGTTAAACTAGAGTTGATATTTCTGTGTAAAACTCACTGAAAACCTGTTTACCACCAAAGAGCTTACATACATCATCATGGACTCAGCAACAATTTAAAAGGTCAAATACAATCGGCACAGTAAAACATACCTGGTACATCTTTAATCCTGTTTTGTTATTTGAAGCAGGGTTGGCACTTCCAGGCTCCAATAAATCATCTTCCCCATTGGCAGCAAAAATCCCACTACCGGTGATTTCTTTCAACTTGTAGGCAGAACAAGACTTCCTAGAAGATTACAAAAGCACTATTCTATGAAGAAGAAGACAAGGAAAAAGCCACAATAAGCGGAGTCCAAGTACAAAGGCATTATGAAAGCTTATGTAACTCTCTTGACAAGGAGGATATAAAAAGGTCACGTGTGTATGAGAGCGTGCCCACAACCAAACATGCATGCTTGTGCGCCTTTGTGTGGGTGCATGTGCATTTGTGCCAAATATTCATCCCCATTCTATATGTGTACGAAAAAAGATAGATAGGTAGCCAAGTAACTGGCTTTTTAGATGGACATGTTTGTGCGTGCATGTATTTGTAATTGTATATGTAATGACTTTTCTGTATGTACATGTTATCCATGGATTGAACCTTTTCCTAATCTAGCAACAAACAATTGTTTCTATTGCAGCACTTTTTAGAAGGATGTTGACGATGCACTATTTGTGACTTACCAATCCTCAGCAAAATGCCATCTCCTTTCCATGAATGGACTAAGTACAACCTACTCTTACATGGACTAGAGCTTTCACATATCAATAACATATTTCACATACGCAAATTGAAAAGACATCAAAAATAAGTTCACATCAGCTAAGCACCTATTACAATTGTATCTAGATCAGAGTTCGGTAGATTGTCAATGGGATGATCAAATCGGCATTTTCATGACCGCAGAAGTTCAGCAGACATTGAAGGAGCCCCATATGATAGTCGCCAAAGAAATGTTTACTTCTCGAATCTGGACATCTAAGGAACTTACGCTGTCCATCTAATTACTATTAATTGAAGAGCCATTGAATGGAAGGGGAATGACTGGACTATCTCAGTTAGACATGAGGGCTTGCAATAGAATCAAGCTCAAGAGGCCAACCAGACCTCTAAGGCCAAGGAAGATGAGCAAGCTCGACCTACCAAGGCATCTGAAGTTCTAAGATCCACCCAATTGACCAAGATTACTCCATCAACAGCCACCCCCAAAAAAATTTCCCTTCTTTTGTAATTTAAATGAAGGTGGTAAAGATTATCATGTTGGATTCAAAGTTTCTGCCCTCATTCCCCGCAGATCGATCACTACACATCCACATTGAACCTATATTACACAATCCAACCATAATTTCTAAAGAAAGAAGATCCAAAGCATTGGAGAACATGGAGAGAATGCGGACAAATAGGTAAAACGGCGGCGACCCATTCCGCCAAATGAAACATTGCATTTAAGGGGAAAAAACACAAAACGTCATCAATAAATCCGTCGCTAATTACCACGAAAAATAATTCGTCGCAAAATTTTTTTATTTTTTAAATTGGTAATATCGAATTCGTGGCTAAATCCTTCACAAATTAGCCACCAATAATTTTTCGTCACAAATTAGCCACGAAAAAAAAATTCATCGCAAACTTTTTTTATTTTTTAAATTGGTAATTGTTTGCCTGCTTTTTTTTTTTTTAAATTTGTGGCAAATTTGCCATGAATTTCAAAAAAAGGTATTTATTCTACTACTATTTTCGTGGTAAATTTGCCACGAATTTTGCCACGAAAATCAAGTCTCGCGGCATTTATTCTAATATGTTCTATTTTCGTGGCAAATTTGCCACGAATTTAAAAAAAAAGGCATTTATTCTACTATGTTTGATTTTCGTGGCAAAATTCGTGGCAAATTTGCCACGAATTTCAAAAAAATGCATTTATTCTAATATGTTCGACATTCGTGGAAAAACTCGTGGCAAATTTGCCACGAATTTTGCCACGAAAAATCAAATTAAGCCGGTATGCAGGAAACTTGATTTTTGTGGCAAAATTCGTGGCAAAATTTGCCACGAATTTTGCAACGAATTTCGAACATATTAAAAAAAATGCTTTTTTTGAAATTCGTGGCAAATTTGCCACAAATTTTGCCACGAATTTCGAACATATTAGAATAAATGCCTTTTTTTGAAATTCGTAGCAAAATTCGTGGCAAATTTGCCACGAAAATCAAGTTTCCGGCATACCCGGCTTAATTTGATTTTTCGTGGCAAATTTCCCCCGAATTTTGCCATGAATTTCGAACATATTAGAATAAATGCCGCGTTTTTTTAAATTTGTGGCAAATTTGTCACAAATTTTGCCACAAATTTCAAAAAAAGGCATTTATTCTAATATGTACGAAATTCGTGGCAAATTTGCCACAAATTTTGCCACGAAAAATCAAGTTTCCGGCATACTGGCTTAATTTGATTTTTCGTGGCAAAATTCGTAACAAATTTGCCACGAATTTTGGAATGAATTTCGAACATATTAGAATAAATGCCTTTTTTGAAATTCGTGGCAAATTTGCCACGAATTTTGCCACGAAAAATCAAACATAGTAGAATAAATGCCTTTTTTGAAATTCGTTGCAAAATTCGTGGCAAATTTGCCACGAATTTTGCCACGAAAATCAAGTTTTTGGTATCCCCGGCTTAATTTGATTTTTCGTGGCAAAATTCGTGGCAAATTAGCCACGAATTTTGCAATGAATTTCAAACATATTAGAATAAATGCTTTTTTTGGAAATTCGTGGCAAATTTGCCACGAATTTTGCCACGAATTTCGAACATATTAGAATAAATGTTTTTTTTTAAATTCGTGGCAAAATTCGTGGCAAATTTTCCACGAATTTTGCCACGAAAATCAAGTTTCCGGCATCCCCAGCTTAATTTGATTTTTCATGGCAAAATTCGTGGCAAATTTGCCGCGAATTTTGCAACGAATTTCGAACATATTAGAATAAATGCTTTTTTGGAAATTCGTGGCAAATTTGCCAGGAATTTTGCCACAAATTTCGAACATATTAGAATAAATGCTTTTTTTGAAATTTGTGGCAAAATTCGTGGCAAATTTTCCACGAATTTTGCCACGAAAATCAAGTTTCCGGCATCCCCAGCTTAATTTGATTTTTCATGGCAAAATTCGTGGCAAATTTGCCGCGAATTTTGCAACGAATTTCGAACATATTAGAATAAATGCTTTTTTGGAAATTCGTGGCAAATTTGCCAGGAATTTTGCCACAAATTTCGAACATATTAGAATAAATGCTTTTTTTGAAATTTGTGGCAAAATTCGTGGCAAATTTTCCACGAATTTTGCCACGAATTTCCAACATATTAGAATAAATGACTTTTTTTGAAATTCGTGGCAAATTTGCCACGAATTTTGCCACGAAAATCAAACATAGTAGAATAAAGGCCCTTTTTTGAAATTCTTGGCAAAATTCGTGGCAAATTTGCCACGAATTTTGCAATGAATTTCGAACATATTAGAATAAATACTTTTTTCGAAATTCGTGGCAAAATTGCCGCGAATAATTTTTTCGTCGCAAATTTGCCACGAGTAATTTTTCGTGGCAAATTTCGTCGTAAATTTGCCATGAAAAATTTTTCGTTGCTAATTTGCGACGAATTTAGTTTTCGTAGCAAAATTCGTCGTAAATTTACGGCGAAAAATTTTTCGTGGCTAATTTTCGTGGCAAAATCCTTGTTTTTTTGTAGTGCAAATTAGCCATGAATAATTTTTCATCGCAAAATTCGTTGCAAATTTGTCACGAATAAATTTTTGTGCCAAAATTCGTCGGAAATTTGCGACGAAAAATTTTTCGTCACAAATTTCGTCGGAAATTAGCGACGAAAAATTTCCAACAAAAAATTTTTCGTCGCTAATTTCCGACGATTTTAGTTCTCGTGGCAAAAGTCGTCGCAAATTTGCGACGAAAAATTATTCATCGCAAATTTTCGTGGCAAAATCCTAGTTTTTTTGTAGTGTGGCAACAAATATTACCAATTCATATCCCATCATGCATGTACCTTTCCTCTTTAGAAATAATTCATCATTTGAGATCCTTCTTTGATTGTATCATGATTTGTGTAGGTTTGCAATCACGCTTCCTTTATATAATTGCCTACAATAAACTCATTTCCCTTTTGATATCCATGTATTTGGATCATTTCCCTTTGTTAGACGCAAAATAGGAAAACTTCATAGAAACCCAAGGATACTTTCCCAACTCGTCTCAGTAGAGTATTTAAGGGAAAATATCATGCATAATAAAATAATATCTCGTAAAAAAATTTCCTTCTTTGTAAGGCATGACAAGATCGGAGAGCACGTAATGAGTCCATAAATCCGAATTATTTCTTTCCCAAAATGAAATAAGATATCAATCAATCTCTTTAATAAAATTTCATCTCAAGATCCATCAAAATAAAATTGACTTTTATTTCAAAAGGACATTTCCAACACAATTATAGAACATGCCATTTCAAGTCTTAATCAAGCAAAGCATAACACGGATAAATAAAATGTTAAGTACAAAGAGAATTCATAGATATTTAAAATATGTATCCAAAGAAAATTGAGAATTTAAAAATATACCTTTACTTACCAAATTCTCTTTCCTTTATTTCCTACAAGTAAAGAAATCTCATCTTTTCTTTGGTACCCAAATGAATTTGGGTCCTTTTACGTTAGTAGATTCTACTGTTCTCATAAAGGTTCTTCGAACTGGTTTCCAAACCTTTGGGCAATCATTTTCAAAATGATTAGGATTCCCACAGATTGAACACTTGAAGGAGCTTCAGCCAATAGGTTTTGTAAATTGTTTTCAAAAATTATTTTTGTAAACTTTGTTTGAAGACGTATGCTTTAATTTTTCCTTGACATTTGGAAAATCATTTTTTATTGAACTTTTCTTTTCAAAACCAAGTCTAGATTTTAGAAAAGATGGAACTTGTATGGAAAGAGTATGTCCTAAAGTTTTCGAACCAAGAGAGAACTTTTTATTAATATTTGAAATTTCCTTTTTCAATAAATCATTTTCTTTCTCTTGCATATTTCAACTTTCTTCAATTTGCAAAAATTCCTTTCGCAAAAATTCAATTTTGTCTTTTTGAGAAAGATCTTGTTGCCTCAGCCTAAAATTTTCCTTCTTCAATTCGGAGAGTCTTTTGAGAGTGGATTTGTAATCTGAACATAATTGATCAATATAATTCATAACTTCAATAGGAATTTCAGGATAACTTATCTCAATTTCTTTCTCTATGTCTGAACCTGAATCTGAATTTGAGTCTGAGTCTAAGTCTGAATGTGCCATTATGCAAATGTTTGCATGATCCTCATCGCTTTCTTGACACTCAGTATCACTCTATTTTCTCTTTTAGAGCCTTCTTGGATTTTTCAAACTTGCCTTTCTTTGTCTTTAGAAAAGGACAATTTGGTTCGATATGACCACGCTTCCCGCATTCAAAGCTAATTACATGTTTGCCTGTACGTCTTTCATCGATTGTCTTTTTCTATTCAGCTTGTTTGAATGGCTTTCTCCCTTTGAACTTTCTTCCCTTCTTGATCATGTTTCTTAACTTCTTTACCATTCGGGCAAGTTCCTCATCGTTCTCTTCATCATCTTTAGAATCTGTCACATTAGAATCAAAGTTAGATTTTAAAGTAATTAACTTCTTAACTTCGGGATCTTCTTTATTTATGCATTCTACTTCATATGACTAAAGAGTCCTAATGAGTTCATCAACAGATAGGGGCATGATTCTTTAAGTTTCTCGAAGTGAGGTTTTGCTATTGTTCTAGTCCTTCAAGAGTCCTCTCAGCAGTTTGTTCATTTTCATTGATTCTGAAACTGGATTTACTTTATATATGAAACTATTCATAATTTCTGTGAATCTGTCATACATTTCAGTAATAGGTTCTCCTAGCTTCATCTTGAAGGACTCATATTGTCCAAGCAATATGTTTATCTGAGTCTCCTTTGCTCGATTAGTTCCTTCATAGGTAGTGTAAAGCTTGTCCCAGATTTCCTTTGTGGTTTCAAAAGAAGCAATTTTCTTATATTCAACAGGTGCTAAAACATAATAAAATGAATAAATTACTTTTGAATCCAAAGCTTCTCTTTTGGTTATCTCAGTTTAGTGAAACAACTGTAGGTGTGTTTCCATCTTGTTGCCCATTCGAGGAAGTTGCAGGAGTTGTTGGATTGATTCCTCTGAGGACAACGCTCCATTGCAAGGGGTCAATGGATTTGATGAATGCCTTCATTTTGTTGTTCCAGACATAACATTCTTTGCCATCAAAGTATGGAGGCCTAGTGTTGCTCTATCCTTCCATAAGACCTAGAGCACTCATACTAGCCATAAAGATCGTTAGCTCAGAAGTATAACA